TGGAGATATCATATTAAGTATTAGAACTTATTTTCAGACACTCATATCAATAGTTGATTTATCAATATTTTATATTCATCTATGTTATTATGAGTTCATATTATCAAATATCCCCCACCTGGACTATTTTCATGGATGATGCTACTGGAATAGCATATACTTAATCCTGTATTAGCCAGCTAGTTGTTCTTTCTATTCTTCGTTTACCCTCAAAAAAAAAAAAAAAAAAAAAAAAAAAAAAAAAAAAAAAAACAAAAAAAGAAAAAAAAAAAAAAAAAAAAAAAAAAAAAAAAGAAAGAAGAAGACAACGTACTTGAGAAAGTTTATATCCCAAAAAGGCATTAGCAAGTGTTAAAATAGGATAAATTGGAGAATTGCAAATCAGAATAATGCTCCAAGAAAAAACAGGAGATTGCGTAATAAGGTTGAATAGATAACACCGACCAACATTCTTTCTAGATCCAAAATCTCACTATCTGTAGGATTTTATGAAAAGAAAACAGAGAAAAGTGAGTTCGTCTTCTTCCAGAAAGAAAATATCCTCAATATATTAATTATGGCATACAAAACTCAATGGATCCCTACACTCTGTAATCTCTTAAGTTGCATAACATGTACATTAAAAGCTTTTTGTCTATATGTGTTCTTGATAGTTTTATTCTCTAAAAATCTACAACCTCGTTCCAGTATGTGAAGACTACTGTTGAAATAACTAAATACATGAAAGGCAATACAAGAGGACGAGGGTTTGAGATAATTTATTTATCTATTTCAGTTTGATTTGTAGTAGTTTTTTATTGGGTTTTAGTTTAAGGGATTAACTTATCTAGAACGGGTATATTACCCATCCGTAGTTCAAACTAATCAAAATATAAATTTTGATTGAAACGAATATATTTTTTACCATACGCTGAAAAAAAAAAAAAAAGATAAAAGTAAGAATAACTTTTAAAAAGTTTATATTTTTATTAGTTTGATTTATAAGTAGAACCATGAATCTGATCTAAGCAAGTATTTTTCATAATTTACTTTTTGTTCTATTTAATATATGAGTTTTTACTTTCTTTTTTTTTAGTGATTACAAAAAGTGGCCAACACGTAGGAGAGAGAAAATCTTTTTACTTGGTGGAAATTTAAGTTAAATAAAAAAGTCCACATGATAATTAAAATTGGATAAACTTATTTTACTGTTGGAACTCAATGTATAGTAGCTTTTGGTAAGCCTAATAGCTTAGGTTTAGTAGAAGTTTTTTCTAGATATATTAAAAATTAATAAAATATTTTATTTACTGATAAAAAAAAACAAATAGTGTTTTGGTTGAAATAATGGTATTTTAACCATTCATTGGAAAAAAACATTAACATTTAAAAAAAAATTAATTGATTTGATATATGGACCATTCTACCGGATATTAACCAAAAAAAAAAAAAAAAACTCCCTTTTATTTCCCCTTCATTGTTACACAAAAATTAAAATTAAATATATTTTTAAGTTACAAATTAAATACCTTAAATTTAAATAAAAAAAAAAAAAAAAAACTCCCCTTCATTGTTACACAAAATTAAAATTAATATATTTTTAAGTTACAAATTAAATACCTTTAAATTTAAATTTAAAGACCACTAATGAAATTATATGTCAAATGAATGGTACAAGACCTGCCAAAATGGTTTGTTAGACACGTGAAAAATGTGATCTCATAATTGATTGGCTCTATCTTAATTATTTAAAAATCATTTAATATAATTTTAAAAGATTATTAGTATTTTTAAGTCTTCTGAAACATAAAAGTTTTAGTAAGTAAATAAAGAGGAGAGTTGCCCCTAATTATTTAGTTCATAATATTTTCTTTCAACTGGTTGAACCTTTTAATAAATAAATAAAAATTCTAATATATTAAAATAAATAACCTTAAAAGATAAATTTAAAACCAAATCATCAGCTTGTCAATTTTAATCTTGCACCAATCTTAGGAATAAAAAGAAAAATATCTATTATTGTTTTGTTTATTCGAAGGAGGGTTGTAACCCACACTATACTTCAACCACTTGTTAAAGCTCCTCGACGCAATAAGCTAAAATCTATTTCTGAGTAAAAAAAAAAAAAAACATGGTTCTTGAGTAAGGACAAAATAAAGAAAATGTCATTTAAATCCAGATGTATGCAAAAGAAGAAGAAAGATAATAATAGCAATACACTAAATTCTTAAATTTTAGTGAACTTCATAAGTTAGTATTTTTGTTTTCAAAAATTAATTATGTAGTCATTTTATTTTATTGTGATTCAATTAAATATTTTTTTATTAAATTTTGAGGAAATATTAACTTTACATCTAATAAATTTTGAATGTCTACATGCATAAAATCCCCTTGAACTTTTTCATTTTAATTATTTGTCAACTTCAACCTTGCAGCGGACCGAATAAATCTCTTAACTAATAAGCATCTTGCCAAGCTAGAACAGTGGCACGTGAATTCAATATCTACAGACATCGTGAATACTTCATTGTAATCCAACGTCGCACAAATGACAGCTTTTTATTATTGCCTTTCTTTGTCCTATAAGGATTGAAATCCCTCGTAAGTTAGCGAATCCAAGAATTGCTTTTCCTGATCGTCTTTTCTATTGTGTTTGAGAATTGCTTATGTTTCATGGAAGTTTTGACTTGAATTCATTAGATTTTTATTTTTTAAAATATAATTCTCAATTTATCTATAATTCTTTTATAGATTTAAAGATATCTAAGATTTGATCTGAGAGAATTGTGCTTGCTTAACTTCCTTCCCTTCTTCTTGTTGCGCGGCTACTGGCTCGGAAAATAAAATGAACAGCGATCGCAGAAACTGCTAGGAACGAAAAGAAGGTTGATCTTACCTAAAAATAAAAGAAAAAGGAAGGGTAGTGGTTGTCTCGATCAGGAATCGCAGCTCAACACCTCCCTCATTACTGCGTTACACAGGTCAAAAGTGGAGATGAGAGAATGGCGGAGAGGCGATGTTGGTAAGGAGGAGTCGATGTTGGTCGAACACAAGCAGATGATCGGAAAAAAATAAATAAAAATGGAGAGGAGTATTGTGCACGATCGAGGAGAAGGGAGAAGACAGATTTTGGACTTAAGGGGAATTTCAAAAATTATATAATTTTCTAATGGGTTGGGCTAGTTTGGGTTGATTAAGGTCCATAGTTTACCTCAAATCATGAGTATTTACTTGGTTTTTTAATTGATTTGGGGATTTCTAATGGATTTAAATTGGTTTAACAAATATATATGTCACGTGGATTAAAGTATGCAGACATATTTGAAAAAAATATCATATAAGAGCGATTTAATTTCATGCTCAATTCTGTAACTGAACATGAGTGTAAAAAATATAAAAATTACAAGTTAAGAGTCTTATTAGGTTCTCACAAAGTTGAAATTGACAAATAGTTAAAATGAAATAGTTCAAAAGGATTTTTTTTTTTTTACATGCCGTCAATTTTTAAATTTTCTTTTCTATGTTATCTCTAATTCTAATTTCTAACTAAAAAATAAAAAATTCATTAAAAGTAATACATCAAATCTATTTATATTAAATTATTAGAAAAAATTTGGCAATAAATTAATTTTTTTAACTTTCTAGAGTATAATCGGAATAAAAAGTGTTTTCTTTAACGTTTTTGTTTTAATTGACTAACCAAAATAATAGCAAAATCTAACAGATTGACTATTAAGTTGAATTACAACAATATAAAAACTTTTGGGGGGGAAAAGAAAATACTAATTTATAAATTTGATCTTTTATAGGGACTAAATCACATAGATTACATAAATTAAAGGGAGGACAAGACCGCCATTTCAGTTACAATTCTCTTTCGGATGCAATTAGGCAAGCGCTTGCCTGGAAGCTTCATCCTACCATGTAATGACGTGGAGCCTTAAAAAGCTGCAAATCTATTTTAATTTATAAGCATGAGGTTAATTTAATAATCTTAATATATTTAAATATTTTCGCAATTATTTTGAATCAAAAGAATGATTTGTATTTAATAATGTAAAATAATAAATTCATTCACTAACCACTGTCATAATTCTCAATTTTATAAAGACCATCCACTGGTGTATTTTATTAATTCTAAAAATGTCCTTGAATTATTAACTATAAATTAATAATTCTTAAGTTACTTTCCAAAATAAAAGAAGAACCAATTATTCAATACTTATATATAATATGATCAAACAACATCTTTTTTTTTAAACAACATAATAATATAAATTATATTGCATTTTCATAAAAATGAAAAGTTAAAAAATTTGATCTTGAGCCCTTGATATCCATTAACTATTAAAACTAATAAATTTCATATATTCTGTATGGATTAAATTGATACGAAACGATACATTTTGTAAAACTATAAAGAGTGAAAATTTAGTTTTAGTACATGTAAATTGATTTTAAAATATTTTATTATAAGTAAAAATGTAATTGCGAGAAAGTTTGAGGTAGATGTTGCGAAATTTTTTTTACTGTCTTAAAGACTAATTTTTACTCCAATGGTTAATTTCTTCACAAAATCATTTATAAACATGAGATTTCAATTTTTCATATTTTTATTATTGTTCTTATGAAGACATTTTTTTATATTTTTTATTAATGAATTGCCATTTTCTTTGGAGAAAAAATAATAAATATTTACTAACTTAAGCGCTGAAATGATATTTTATTAAAAAAGTAAAAACAACAATTTTATTTGTAATTCAAATATAAAATAATAATAATGATAATAATAATAATAATTTAAGTTATTTTCAAAAGCATTCAAGTATGAATCAAACCGAGCCAGCTAAATAGGAAAAGAAGCCACTCCAAAAGTCAATGCAAGGCCACTTTTCCCCACAGAAGACAGAAGGATCTAGAATATATACATGTTAACGTCGGTGAAACTAAATCCCGTAACTTCCCTGTGACATTAACTTTTCCGACATTCATTTATCGAAAGTAAAAATAGATTAATTAATTAATCTTGCTTTCGGAATATCGGACTCCGTCGGGATTATGTATATATTAATTTAGTTCGACCACTAATTCTTTTCCATCTTTTTTCGCTGTGCGTCTCTCATATTTTCCTTTCTGCGCAAAAGCTAAAGGTTATGGCTTTTCTTCTTTCTCTTTTCTCTCAATTCCCAATTCAAGCTTCAGATTGCAATTGAAACCCTTCCCTTCTCAAAACCCTAACCCTAATTTTATATTCTTTCTTCAAAGTTTCGGATTCGAATTTCCTTTAATCTCTCTGTTTTAGTTCTGGTATTGACACAGTAAAATGGTCCGTGGTGACTCCTCGACTTCACTTGCTCCTGGATTCCGATTCCACCCTACTGATGAGGAACTGGTTCGCTATTACCTTAAACGAAAGGTTACCAACAAACCTTTTCGGTTTGATCCAATCGCTGTCATCGATATCTACAAGTCCGAGCCATGGGATCTCCCAGGTCCGATTTTGGTTTTTCTTTAGAATCAGTTTTTATTTTGGAAGTCAATCTGTTATTTGAATTATAGTTATTGCAATTAATTGGAAAATTGCTTGAATTCAGGAAAGAACAAGAGGATATGGGGAAATTTTAGGTTTTCACTTTATTTATTATTTATTTGCATTTTTTTTTTAGATAAGTCGAAGTTGAAGAGCAGGGATTTGGAGTGGTATTTTTTTAGTATGCTCGATAGGAAATATGGCAATGGATCTAAGACTAACCGGGCGACAGAGAAAGGATACTGGAAAACAACTGGGAAGGACCGTCCTATTCAGTGGAACTCACGAACTGTGGGGATGAAAAAGACCCTTGTTTACCATCTTGGACGTGCCCCTCGCGGTGAGCGCACCAATTGGGTAATGCATGAGTATCGCCTTGCTGATGAGGATTTGCAGAAAGCAGGGATTGTTCAAGTGAGATCATATACGAATTTGCATTTCTTGTTTAACGTTGATGTTATCCACGTTATTTTATTGACTTCTTATTCGTTTGTTTGATTGTGTCCTTGGGTGGGAAGGATTCATTTGTGCTGTGTAGGATTTTCCAAAAGAGTGGAACAGGGCCGAAGAATGGAGAGCAGTATGGGGCACCATTTGTTGAGGAGGAGTGGGATGATGATGAGGTGGTAGCTCTACTACCGGGTGAAGAGATGGTGGTGACAGATGAAGTAGCAGTTGGAGATGATGCATGTGTGGAAGCTAATGATCTAGACCAGGTTTGTACTTCTGGGGATCTTTGTTTGTGAATAATGTATAAGTCTTTGATTGAAATAAAAATGAATAAGGTACTGTGTTTAGTTGCTTGGCCAAGCAGTATATATATAATGATCTAAGACCAGGTTATTGTACTTCTGGGATCTTTCGTTTGTGAATACTGTATAAGTCCTTTGATTGAAATAAATAATGAATAACAGGTACTGTGTTTTAGTTGCTTGGGCCAAGCAGTATATAATATATATATATATATATATATATATATATAATATATATATACACATAACCCGGCACACACACAACACACACACACACATATCACACACACACACACACAAAGAAAGAAACAAGGGTTTAGTTGCTTAGTTAAGCAAATTACTGCTACAGAACACACACACACACACACACACACACAAAGAAAGAAACCGGGTTTAGTTGCTTAGTTAAGCATTACTGCTACACACACATATTTTAGGACAAATTTTGGCATTTGGTGAGAGGAATAGCAGTTCCTAGTTGTACAATTTTCAGTTAGCAGCAAAAAGTTTAGTTCTTTGATAGATTGGTTTATTTAATCTAAGCATTGCAAGAGATAGAGAAATGTATGTAGAGCCTAGGATATGTACCGAGGATGTGATGTTTAGTGTTGCAAAATACAAGGGAAAAAAAGAAACTGGGTATGCAGTTTTATGCAGGATAATATGGTGTATTGGAGGTTCTTTGGATAGTTAATTCAGGGATAAATGGACAGCATGACAGATAATATGTTGTTAGGCCTTGCATGTTGGATTCAAAGGATAATTTTTGAGGGTGATGAAAACTGAGAGAATGAAATTTCAGGGTACTGGGATGATTGGTGAATAGTGTCATAAATTTTTGATTTTCTCATTGTGGGTTTTGGCAGAATTTTGATGGCATTGCATCTGGAAATGCTTCTGTCCCTGTGAATTACTACCATGGTGAAGCAAGCAACTATGTGGAGCAGAGCTCTGGAAACTGCAGTGGAGATGATCAAAAGCCTATAATTATTGGCAAAGAAGAAACACAGTATGGTTCTAATCTGCCAGATGACCAGAACTTATTCAATTTGGCTGGGCAATATGAGGTTGATGCCAAAGCAGTGAGACATGAATACATGGCTGAATCTAGATGCAATATGAATGCTGTTGATGACAATTACTTGCTTGATGAGCCATTTGTGGATGCTACTGATAATCCTCCATTCAGTGAAGGATTGTTCCTGGAGGCTAATGATCTCTCAAATCCTGTGGAACCAGAGTCTACTGGAGATTCTACACCTTTTGACATGGTTGACGAGTATCTCAGTTTCTTTGATGCTAATGATGACAACCTGACTTTTGATCCTTCTGAACTTATGGGGACTGAATATGCTATTCCTGATCAAGATCATCTATTTGAGAAGGTAAATATTTACTTTAATCTCTATATACTATCTATTGAATTTTGAATGACAATGTATCAATTAAGTTATGCCTTACTACAGGATGTCAATGGCGGAGCTAAGGCAGTTCCAGTGGTAACCTCAGAATTATCAGAAGCACATGGCAACAATGATGCATCCTCCTCGAAGCAACTAAAGCCAGAAGCAACGATGTTCGAATCAGGTAATTTTGGTCTGGATGCCTGTCATTGCTATTCCTCAAATAGTTTCTTCTTCTCATTAGTTCGGGGGTAAATGTCCTAAGTGAAATAGATATGACAGTTATATTTATTTACCCCTGGTTTTAATTTCCCCTATTTTTGGTCTTATTTGTTTGTGTCTTGTGCACCTGTGCAGATATGAAATATCCGTTCATGAAGCAAGCCAGTCAAATGTTGGGCAGCATTCCTGCACCACCAGCATTTGCTTCTGAGTTCCCTGTTAAGGACAGAGCTCTGCAGTTAAATGCAGCACAATCTTCCAGTTCAATTCGTGTTACTGCTGGTGTAATTAGAATAGAAAATATTACTTTTGGCAGTAGCGGAATGGACTGGTCATCCAACAAGAATCAGAATGTCAACATCATCCTCTCTTTTGACATGGCGCAAGCCAATGTAGGTCCGGCAAGTTTGGTACCAATGGGGAGCTTCTTCTCAGGCAAGGCAATGTCTACAGTGTCACGGGGCTGGTACTTCCTAATGTTCTTTTGGGTCCTAATTTTTTCAGCAACTTTTAAAATTGGGACCTACGTCTGTACCAAATAGCTATACTGGTCAATGAAGTTGGCTGGGGAGATGCTTAAAACTGTTCCCTGGGATGAATTTCCTTTCGGGGTTGGTTAATGGTTAATCCCTTTATAGGTTGCTTAGGACAACTAAATTGTTACAGATTCTTTATTTAGTATATTGACTGCCAAACCTGAAAAGTTGATGTGTTTTGACCTTGCATTGGTTCATTGTAATTTTATACAACTGCACACGTTAAGTAGTTTTAGGATAGCAGAATTTTATTTTGCTTATATGTATAAACATCTTTTAACCATTGGCGGAAACGTGCCTAAACGTTACCTTGGTGATATATATAGATAGTTTGTGAACTAAAAAGAGCTTATTACCAGAATACAAGACTTGCTCAATGACAGACAACATCCTTTATCAGCAAAGGTTGGTACCTCTCTTTGTTTTTTTCTTAATTTTTTTATTTTTTAATTCCTTCTTGATTGTTATAGGAAAGATGATTATGCAATTTTATTGGTTGTATAGTTCTTCTGTTCAAATTATTTTAGTCAGGGCAGTGTTATCTTTGGAGTGTTCATGGTTTGGGTTGGTTTGGTCGACTGGGTTTGAGGCTTTATTCAAATTATACTTGTGTTATGAGATATTCAAATTGTACTTGTGTTATGAGACGGTTTATAAAATTTTAAACCGAATCAGACCTTACTCCGAACTGAACTAAACTTATGAATGCAGTTTCATTTGATTTGGATCATAAAAAAACCAGCAATTGAAACTGCAGGATCAGTTCGAGTAGTTTTATAAACACCCCTAGTTATCATCATCATATTCATGGATATGCATTTGGGTGAAGCTTCTGTTTTTTTTTTTTTTTTTCTTTGGGTGAAAGCTTCTGTTTTTTTTTTTTTTTTTTTTCTTTACTTTTGTTGGGGATGTTACAGAAAATGGTTTTTCTTTTCCAAATTCTTTGGATGTTTTCCGAACTTTTGACTATCGAATAGATGATTTTATCACTTATGATCCGGATTTTCTAAAACAGTTTTTATTTCTATCGTTTTGATCCCAATGTCCAGCATCGAGTCATTCGAGTTTTAAATAGTTTTAAACTTTTTTTAAAACAAAATCGAGCACTCCACAACTATGAAATTTTTTTTTTTTTTTTTCTTTACTTTGTTGGGGATGTACAGAAAATGGTTTTTCTTCCAATTCTTTGGATGTTTCGACTTTTGACATCGAATAGATGATTTATCCTTATGATCCGGATTTCCTAAAACAGTTTTATTTCTATCGTTTGATCCAATGTCCACATCGAGTCATTCGAGTTTTAAATAGTTTTAACTTTTTTAAACCAAATCGAGCACTCCACAACTATGAAAATCAATCCTTGTGTTGGTCAAATTGATCGTTCGGTTTTTACATACTCCCTAATGGTCAAGGGTATTTTAGTTTTATAATTATTGAAAACAAAAAGATATTTGATACTTATAAAACCATATGTTCCGAAAATAATTGCTATAATTCCACACGTGAAATTGAACTTATATTGTATTATAATGATATAATAATTACGAAATACAAATTATATATTTAGAAATTATTTAAAAAAATAACGCGTTTGACATTTCGACATGCAACATAATGCACATATGAAATTAATTAGTTCTAAATAAACAATTTTTTCTAATCACATCTTCTGCCTTCTGAAGTAGCTGTTGAAGTATTTTAGAAACGTGTAATGGTGTTTTGAGACTCAAAGTTTACATTTCTCCGGGAAGCATTGTGTCCTCAGGTAGATCACAAAAAGCGATACCCTGAGAAGAGAAACACAGTTAAGCTATTTATCTTTCAATTTCATCACAATCCGGAAAATAAGAATATTATAAGGATTCATCTAGATAGAAGGTCATTTTAAATGAACGTGAATTCGGAGTTGAATTTTTGAGCGTAAAATCATAACAAATTTAAATTACTCTCCGATGACTAGTTATCCAAACGAATCTCAACATTTACCTCTCCGGTGAGGTGGGCTACACATCTCTTCTCAGCTAGTAACTCAGCTTCTGTCTGCAAAAAGCATTACATACAAGCAGTAAATCTATAAACTGAGAAAATAAGAACAAAAGTGTTGGGCGGTCATTAATAAATCTCAAGGACTCAAAATTCTAATTTCAAGAATAGAAAGGACAAATGTGTTAATTATGGTAAACCTCAGCAGTGTTATTGTTACAATTTACACACAAAAAGAAAGGGAATACTTTACCATTTGGTTCCCATTGGAGTGCTGGTCAAATGAGAAGACATACCTTAGTAATTTTCTTTAGAAGGTAATCGTCAAAGATTACATCCTTGACAAGTTCATAATCACCATCACCCTGCCAAATGGGTTAATATATTTAAGATGGGATCATGATATGTTCATATGAATGAATAAATATTTAACAGTGCTTAGAAAAAAGTGCTGAAAAAGAACTCACTTTTGATCTGCATGGCATGCTGAAAACTAAGCCCTCCGCGATGCCATATGGATTTCCGTTGGTATAAACCTGCATTTGTATGAAAACTGTGAGACTAACTGGTACATCTTAGCAAATCGAGATGTTTATCATTGTTTAAGCACACGAAGATCTCCGATTAGCATATCGCTTAAATGTTTTAATCAGCTGACATGAACACAGAACTACTCTTTCTTGACAGCAAGCAAAAAGTATAGAAGCATAGTTCAATTCAAACAACATGAGGCATCCGGATCTCTTTTCTAAGAATTTTCTCTGCATGTGGAGAAGTCAGCTTCAAAATTTCTGTCTCGTGTTAGTATAATTGATTAATGCTTCTTTTGCTAATGAGTATTCCAAATGCAGTACTCTGGTTCATATATGCAACCGGCAGCATAAAGTGGCATATATGAGTTTATGCAAATTAAGAGGAATTGAACTTACTCCAGAAGAAAACCAATCACCCTCGGGGGTGGGAGTTATTAAAGACTTTATGGCATCAGCAATGGACACAGCAGTTGATGCAGCCGAAGATCGTCCCCATTTCTGAATGAGCAATCCACCTCTCTGCAAACACAATACAAGTTCAAGGCCCTTGATCAAATATTCTGAGTTGATTTCTTAGACAAAAGATGAAGTTCTATTTATGATGCATTTATGAAGTACACCTTCTGGACCATCTCAGTGAACTCTTCTTCTAACCACTTGTGATCTTTTATGACCTCTTTGACAGGTAAGCCATTTATTCTAGCATTTAGAAAGTCCGGAACCTGTAGAAAATCAGATAAGGATTCCTTTCAGAGAAGTTCAGGGAAATTTGATCAGTAGATACTCTTCTAACAGGAAAAACTTAAACACCTGAGTGGTCGAGTGATTTCCCCATATGGTCACATTTGACACTTTATCATAGAACACACCTGCTTTCAATGCAAGCTGCATAAGTCGTTACCAAGTTAATCTTTTGCCCTTTTTTTTTAGTCACAGTAATCTTTGCTCCCGATCATTAAATAGCAGTGTTAAGATCTAATTTACCTGACATTTTGCTCTGTTTTCATCTAACCTAGTCAAAGCATGAAAATTCTTTGCAGGTATATTTGGAGCATTTTTCAGACAAATTAAAGCACTGCACCATAAAGGAAGGTGTATAAGTGAGTTCTTTGAAGGAATTGCATAAGCTAGGTATAGAGCAAAAACAGTGTGGAAAATGATAAATGATAGATTCTTACTTGGTATTACAAGGGTTGCCCACTACTATCACCTTCACATTTCGAGACGCAACAGCATTAAGAGCTTTTCCCTATTACATTTAGAAAATAGATTATAATTCATAAATTAATCCTACAATAGGCAGAAAGGTATAAATAGCAATGCTACCTGTTCAGCAAAAATCTGCCCATTGATATCTAATAAGTCAGCTCGTTCCATGCCAGGTCCTCGAGGCTTTGCTCCAATCAATAGAGCCCATTCTGCATCTTCAAACACTTCATAAGGGTTTATTCCAATGCTCACTTCCCTTAACAAAGGATACAAGGAATCCTCAAGTTCCATTGCAACTCCTGCATTAATAATGACCGCATTTTGAAGAATATGAAGAAATTGGAGTTGTTAATCTAAGAAATTTTTTGTTTGCAACTTAAAAACAGTTCATGACTAAATGCTAAAAGAGCAACATTTTATGTTCATAAGGCAAGATGTTAAAATTTGCATGCCTCCAATCTACTTTTTCCTGAATAAAGAGAAAATATTCAATACACAACATAAATAATCATATATGGACTTCTTAAAATGCAGAAATTGAAGTTTAAAAAATGTTAAATAAATATAGGATAGTCCAAAATAATTCAAACAATAAAACCTTAATCAACATTTGTTTGGGGGAACAGCCACATATCAGATTACATGCTGCTTGTTGCATAGCATCTCCAGATCAATTGAAATTTTTATGTGAAGATGTAAGCATATACCTTCAAGAGCTTGAAAAGACCTTTCAGATCCCAATAGTTTCAATGCTATAGGCTGATTTGGCCCAAAAACTTCACCAGATGCAAGCTGGATTAACAAAACAAGTTTATGAATCTTTCTCTTTTTGGATAATACTAGTTCAGGGATATAAGCAGCTACAAACAAAGAAATTCAAATGTTCGTTTCTCAAAGCAGCCAGAAAAACTTTTGTACAAATAATGGTATTTTTTTAGGTCAAAACAGAAAAATGCAACTCTTGAAGGGAGTATGGCAATCACAATTTCTAGGATATCCCAAATAAGCATAAGCATAACTATCAGGATACAATTTGATAATCCTCCAGGGATAAACTACTCGTTTACATTTAGCTGATCATTTGAAGCACTAGATAAAAACAAGAAAACTGAAACTACAGCTACTGCTACTGCTAATGCTGACACATATAAATGGTATTGAATAAAAAAGTACCAGAAACTTCACTTAATTCAATCCCTTTTAAATGGTATCCCTTTTATGTTACCACCAGAAGCATTCAACAATCACCAGTTTACTAGCAAGCAAATAATTAGTTTACTAGCAAGCAAATAATTTAGATGTTCCGAAAAGGCAAAGAAAAAAAAATTATTGCGAGTCCTTTGGTGAATTAGAAAGAAGAGGACCTTACTTTAAAAAGTAGATGATTGGATATCATTCCAGCAGCACCAGAAACTGCTATATTAATTAGTTTCTTCCATGATTTTGTCTCCTCCTCCTGTGAGCAGATTAAAAAATAATAATAATAATAATAAAAAGACTTAAGTATTCACTAGTCAAATAAAATATGTCATGGTGATGAAGGAGGCAAAGGGAGCAGAATTCCTGCATTCACTATGCTTAACTTGTCCAAATTGAAGGATGTTTTCCAGTAGAATTATATATATATATATATATAAACAAAAATCAGAGGTCATCTTTCAGCCAATATATCACATGCATATGTAACTTTTGGAATTTTTTTAATAAAAAAATTCAAGCCAACTAACCTCAGAGTTAGCAACTAAAATTCAAACAGACAAAAATCTAATATTCATTATGTAATAGAACTAAGCTAAAATCAACATTGTCCAAAGTATCATTTTTATCACATTGGAAATTCTAAAGGGTAAGGGGATGCCACTCTTGAACTCTTGCATTACATCATAAGACAGATAATCCATCACTGAGCTACTAGCATAATTACAAAACTACCCAAATTGAATCATATACTTAAAAAAAAAAACCCATTAAAGGAACTAACAATACAAATGAAATTAACCAAACTATTTTCTAAAGAAAAGCACAGAAACAGACAGAAAATATTAAATTGTGAAATAGATATAGAAGGTAGAATTAGAAAATAGAAACACTTACAGCCCTGAGATCATATGTTTGGCAGAAAACACCAAAGCAATCAGACTTGTCTGTAGACTTCTTAGTCTCAACTGCAACTGGGGCTTGAACTTGACTAAACACGAAAAAAAAAAAAAAAAAAAGAAAGAGTTATCCATAAGTTGGCAAAAGATGAAATTCGACGAAACAAAAAATAAACAAAAGATAAAAACTTTACTCTACAGAGCAAGTAATTCTAGTATTTTGAGGTCGAAAGGAGCGGCGAAGGCGAAAAGAGAGATGGGTAGAAGAGAGTGAAAGCTGAGAAGAAGAGTGGAGACGAGTTGGGGTGTGGGTATATGCAACAGTAGGTGATGTTAGCTCTGCCACGGCCATGGCAGAGAGACAGACAGAGAGATATTTACAGAGAAAGAGAAGGATTGAGAGATTTCAGAGACAAAAATGGAAGTATTAGAATGGAGTTTTAAAGTTGGTGAGAGAGAAGCATGGAGAAGAAAGAGCTTATTTGAATATGAAACATGAAAGTATTATAAGGCTAATACATATGACACTTGTCATTTTGATAATGTTCATGTGACTTTGTTTTTCTTTTGGTTTTGGTTCTCTGTCTGCTACTACCATTAGACTTACAGTTAATTATGCCTTTCCAATTTGCTTTTTTTGTTGCTTGTCTCTGTTTTCAGTTTCCACCCATAGTTTTTTTGCAAGATTTTTTTTTTCTCTCTCACAACTTTGATTGGAAAATTGGAAATAACACCATTTCAAATTCATTCATCACCTAACTAAATTATCTCATTATTATTAAGCTAAAATTTATATCTTTTTTCTTTAATTAGTTTATCGGGTGGGCAAAGTTTGGTAAAACCGAACAAAAACTATCCAATTGAGTCAATTTAATTTGATTTGGTTTAGCTTTTTATATAATAAGGTTGGTTTAAATTTTGATAGATAATTTTTTTTTTTTTTTTGATTTGGTTTATTGAACTCAAAAAGTTCCAATTTGTTTCAAAATGATTAATTCAAACTGAATTTATTTGGTTTGATTATGTACACTATTTGTTTCAGTTGAATTTGCATCTTAAAAGATACCAATTTATCTTTTAATTTGATTTGAATTTTACTGATACAATGTCTATCTCTATTATTTCGAGCCAATATTTACATTAATCAATATAGTTTCAAATTGTTTTTTAAACCATATTTTTATATTTATATAAAAAAAAGTCTGAATCTTTTTGCTAAATCATGACTAAGAAATTGCAAGAAAGAAAAATATATTCCTTATGACAAGAACCCAAATCCTATTAATAAAATTTTAGAAGGAATCTTACTGCAGATACACTTGGAACAATATATTTTGCATTCTTCAAAAAGATACCAATTTATCTTTTTAAATTCTGATTTGACATTTTACTGATACAATGTCTATCATCTATTATTTTCGAGCCACATTAATTTACATTAATCAATATAGTTTCAAATTGTTCTTTTTTAAAACCAATATTTTTCATATTTATATAAACAAAAGTCTGAAATCTTTTGCTAAATCATGACTAAGAAAATTGCATAAGAAGAAAAATATATTCCTTTAATGACAAGAAACCCAAATCCTATTATAAAATTTTAAGAAGGAATCTTATTCGCAGCATTACACTTGGAACAATATATATATATATTTATATATATACTATATAGTATATAATATATAACATTAAAACATGTTTTTATATATACATTAAACATGTTTTATTCTCAACTGTATGTCTCTGTCTTATTTTCTATATGCATACATATCTACCTGCATGAGTCTTAGAGTTTGAGTTTGGTCACAGCAACCTAAGACATTAAAGACAAGCTCTACTAGTTTTTCATTTCATTAATCCTTTGGTTGTGAATTGGAAATCTTGTTGGTTAACTGCCTGTCAAGTTGCCTCTTGATGACACAACTGAGAATTCCCTTCCTCCTTATACTTCATTTTTATCTTTTCAGAAATTAACCATTTAATCCTTGATTTTTAGTTAAAATTATTATATTCATACTGTTTTATAATATTGCTTGTTCATCCATGAGACTAAATAAATAAATAGTTTAGAAGAAAAAATAAAATACGGATTGATGTCTTTGCCAAAAATGGCCTAAATAATTTAATAGAAAAAATTTAAATACCGATCAGTATTTTTACCAAAAAGTAGGAATGTTATAATAATTTTAATCAAAATACAGCTACTAGTTAATTCTCCCTTTTAAAAAAAAATGATTTTCAGAAATAAAAAAAAAAAAAAAAATCTTGTAAATTAACTAAGGGGCACCGGGGCAAATGTCATATCGAATGTTTCAGTTTTTAGCAAAAGTCATAAAATATCAAATATTAAGAAACTAACACATTTGATCAAAAATAAATAAAAATGCCCACAGGAACATCAAACAACGTGAAACTAACAGTGTAACATCCCAGGTTTGGGGCACAACACCTTAGGCGAATCCCACGTCGGCTACGCACAAGGTGGAAGTCCTATATATAAAGGGTGACAACCTTGAACTAGTGTGACGCGTTTTGGGCTGACAGAGCGGAGGTTTCCCTGGCCCAGAAACAAAACCCTGAGGGTTCAGGCCAGGTTTGGCACAAAACCCTGAGGGTTCAGGCCAGGTTTGGCACCCAAAGCGGACAATATCACACTAGGACTGGGCTTTTACAAACAGATTTGATAAAAAAGGATAACACTGGAAAAAAGAAACGCTGAAAGAAACGGTGTATATATATGTACTATATCAGTAAATACTCTAAAATTAATTAGATATAGAATATATATATACACCAATTAACACATTTGATAAGATAAGATCAACTAAATACAGTATATGCATATATTGTATCATTATCAATTCAAACAGAATCGAGAGTCCTAACTTGTCTCTACAGAGCATAAACAACATCCATGATAGTGACAGTTTTACAAAAATGAAATCACACAAGAGAAATAGAATCTAAAAAAAAATGTGGAACAATGCCAATAGTGAAAAGAACAACTGACAACTGAAAATAACGAGAGCAAAAGCAGAATTAAATAATGGATGGTAACAAAATGAGAAAGAACGATGCCGAAAATTAAAATAGAAAATTAATTAAAAAGGAAACACTAAGTGACAAATATAATTAAAATAGAAAATTAATTAAAAAGGAAACACTAAGTGACAAATATAATTAAAATAGAAAATTAATTAAAAAGGAAACACTAAGTGACAAATATAATTAAAATAGAAAATTAATTAAAAAGGAAACACTAAGTGACAAATATAATTAAAATAGAAAATTAATTAAAAAGGAAACACTAAGTGACAAATATAATTAAAATAGAAAATTAATTAAAAAGGAAACACTAAGTGACAAATATAATTAAAATAGAAAATTAATTAAAAAGGAACAGAGTGGGGTAGAATGGGATGTAACTTAAATAAGTAAAATTGAGAGCTATGACCAAAAGAGTACAAACTGTGCAGGCTGGAAACCAACAGCTGGGCAGACTGACAGTTGCCACTTGAGCTCAATATTTGACACCTTACCAACGTAATTAAGAGATGTGATAGAAGACAAATTTGTACAAATTTGTACCTTAATGTGTTAGCTAACATTATAATTTAGAACTGCAATTGGACTTATTAATACAGAGTTATGCTAGAATTTGTGAAACATGTACAGGCTGCCCTGTCAGATTTCAAGGCTACATTAGAAATAATGTTGGGATGCATATGTAGCTTCATACAACCTAAGATTATTGCTGAATTTTAACCTTCTGAGTTGAGTTAAATAACAACAATAATTTCCTTAATCTGACCGGTAGAAATTAAATTATCTAATGAGTGGTACGAGTTGCATCGCGAGTGTACCAATTAGATTTCCATGCCAATTATTTTACAAGTTATCACTTGTGTGCAGTTACTTCTATTTATCTATGAATCTATGGAAAGCCCTCATAAAGCATTGAAACAGGTTAGGAACATACAGAATGAGACAGCATGCAGGTAAACAATATGATTTATGAATTCTATGAAGAATGTAATATGCTTTCTATTTTGTTTATTCGCAATTACCGATAATATTGCTCCATTGAGGTTAGGTAGAAACCACGTAGCATAAGATTATGAGATAAGATTATGTCGCGACATAGGATAGTAGATCTGCGCTCCATACAGTTTGGTACTTCGACTACAGGCCGTTGAGTGGATATGAGTATATATGGGTCATAACAGCCCAGCCATACAGTATACATTCAATTTCATAGTATTCATATAGTTTTTCTTATCACTTAGGTTTAACTATAACCTTATAGAGTCATACAGTTATGAGATTGTATTATGTATAAATTATAAAAGATGCATAATTCATACAGCATAATGAACAGCAGATAAGATCATGAAAGTATATTGATATGTGTAATTACATGTTTATTTATTTATTTCTTATTAAGTTGAGATATCCACGGAGCTTTATTTGCTCAGCGAGTTACTTGTTTTAACTCGCAGGTTCTAGATCTGGACTGTAGAGAATCATCGTACAACTGCTGCAGTTCATCTTTGGAAGACCCAGTCTTCAGGGTAGCTACTCATTTTGATATTTTGATTCTGTTTATCCTTATCATGGCATGTTTGGCATGTACAGAGCACACAGTTGGGGCCCATTTTCATTTTAAACACTAGTATCATGTCTTTGAAATATTTATAGTACATATCTATATTTTCCTAATGTAGAAAAGTAACAGCATGATATTATTATCAGCATACATTATGATTCAGCATGACAGGGACATTAGGTTCAACCAGCTTGTAGCGTCTCGGTTTGATTCCATTTCGGATTTACGGATGAACCGAAAAGGTACATATCTATATTTTCCTAATGTAGAAAGTAACAGCATGATATTATATTCAGCATACATTATGATATCAGCATGACAGGACATAGGTTCAACCAGCTTGTAGCGTCTCGGTTTGATTCATTCGGATTTACGGATGAACCGAAAAGGAATGTTACACTCTAAACATAAGTTTAAAAAATATGACTTCTACTAGAATTATCCTTTTAACTAATTTAATCTCTTTTGCTGTTGCATCAATTGGTTTGGTCCTACCACTTTGGGCCCAGTTCATGTCTGAGGCCCAAAAGTGAGTGGAAATCATTTTCAATTTTTCATAGTTATGCTTGTTGACATTTTTTTTTCTTTGGATATTAATGCTTGTTGACATTAGTCATTTAGTTTTACTTTTACAGATGAATTTTTTTTTTTCTTTTCAACAAAAAGGAATTCATTAGTTATCACTTAATGTTGGTATTAATTTCAACGTATCAATTATTTATTGGGATTCAAGATTTTTATTAAAATAAATTTAAAGTCAAAAAGCTTTTTATTAAAATAAATTTACTCGAATTGAGTAAATTTTTAATAAAAATATATTCCTCATCCTATTTAATAATTTTGCAATTTATTAAAAATTGAAATTATTTAACTGGATCAAAGTTTATATTTAATATGAACTTTTCCATCCATATGCTTTGCCTTTGCGTGAGGGTATCTAGCTAGCCAACTTTTTATTTTATTTTTGGTTTGTACCCCTAAAATTTTCATATTTTTTCATTTTGGTCCTCTCCTCCAATAATTGTTTTTTATGCTCTAACATTTTACATTATTAAACTCAAAACTTTCTCATCATAATCGAACTTACACTTCTCACTCTTCATATAAGTAAAGGCCAATCAGACCATATTTAGTTGGTAATTCCTTAATCTCTATGGACTACACAACAGGGGTAACCCTTCCTACCCTCCCTCACCAAATTGTTGAAAACACACGTGCTCGAGAAAATTTCAATTTGATATCTCTCATTCTTCATATAAGTGAAAAGATTAATCAGACCACTACTTGATTTGCAAAAAAAAAAAAAAATTGATTTTTAGAAATATATTTTCCACACAAATAAATAAAAAATCGAGGATTTTTAATCAACTCCTAACACATTCAAAAAACTGAAGAAAATTATACACATGGTTTTTATAATATTACAAAATCTCGAAATTTGGACCCCTTTATGTCATTTTAGATCAAAATATAAAAATTGTGCATCTTTTCATATATATTCTTAGACACTTTTTTCCAATGTTTTGGCTCTGCATGCCCATAAGAATGTCAATAACTATTGACAGGAACCATTAGAATTATTTAAAAAAAAATAAAATAAAAGCCTTGGATATTATAAATCATGAAATAATTCCAAAAGCCACATCAGAAATTTAAAATCAGAATAGACTCTTCTTGCTCTTGATTGTTTTGTGCTTGTATTTTGGTGGATTCTTTTTTTGTTTTTATGTTTGACAAATTCATGAAGAGTGCTTAGGACTATTGATGTAGACTCTAAATCTCTTTCACTGGCTAAAGTTGATTGAGAAAATTCTGCTGCTGATGTGCTTAAACCCTTCATCTTTAGGACCACGTCCTCCAAGACAGGAGGACTATATATATTTTTACAAACCCATAGACTGTTTTTTTAAATAAATAAATAAATGTGGGAATTTGCATGAGCTCAAATTCTCTTAAGTGATGAATCAATCACTAACTAACGAGTAAAAAACAAAAAAATCTCACAATTTGGAATATTTTAAACCAATTTCTATGGAAAATTCCAAAAACAAACCATAATTCAATATTTTTTTGGATTGCTGATGCAAATTGAAAAGCATTTATTTATGTAATAAAGGCAATAAAATATTAATGAAAATAAATATAAAAAATAGAAAATTATTTCTGATGACTGACGCATATTAAACGGGGTAATTTTATCAATTTAATGTTATTGAAATCTTATTCTGGCAATAATTTTTTTTGTACTGACAATATTACCAATATGTATATATTTATATATAATTAATTAATTTTTATAAATTTAGAATGGATTTTATGTTAAAAGAAGAATGAATGTTTTATGAATATAAATCAAGCACTGGTATATACTCATTATTCTTCAAAATTAGACTCATCAGAATTTAGTTTGTTTGTTTCAAATTGTAAAACTATCTTAGAGCATATCGATTAAAAAGACGAGAATATGAAGGCTCACCTTCTTGCTACAACCTCTATCCATTTTGCTCGTTTAAGCTTGGGATTCAATCCCAGATATATTATTGGATTATTATTCTTTAAGGTAATGCAAGCTAGTATTGTTCCTTAAAAAAAAAAAAATGAAAGAGAAAAAGATGATTAACAAATGAACCCACATGTGACATTTATCAAAAATTTAATTCTTTTACTTTATTTTTATATTTGGTTGGGAAGGATAAAAATTCATTAATAATGGTCAACTAGATATTGTCTAACTTATTCTCTCACGTCTCGTACAAAATAAATATGAGAGTGAGAGGTATCAAATTTAACATAAAAAAAAAAATTAAATCCTAAAAATTTTTTGGACAGCATCTTTACAGGTCATAAATACCTATGATTTCTTATGGGAAAGAGACATCCATATGTCCTTTATTACCAACACTTACGTATTAGCCGGCAAATAAGTACAAATTCTTTTATTAATTGACGTATTTAACAATGTTGATCTCCAATTTCCAACATCCACGAACCGCAACTAAATCTTTCTCTATATATGCTACTTAAGACACTATATAGGCCTCTACAAGGACAAGTTTAGAACATTTTCTCGAGCTTACCAAATTCATAGAAAATGTCAGTTGATGAATCATGGCTGGCTGGAGTTGAGAAGGAAACCGGCGAAAATGCACGACAACCACCACCACCACCATTAACATCCGATAAGAGCGGTTTCGATTCAAGCACTGGAATTTACCATACACTACACCAACTTGGTGAAGATTTCCAAATACCTACTAGACATGACTTGGACACATGCAGGTATGTGTTATCCCAATTTCCCCATCCTGACCATGCTGAGTCAAAAATTGCACTAATTGATGCATACTCTAATCGCCAAGTCACCTATGCACAACTCCACCGATCAATCCGAGCCTTGGCTGCCGGTTTGTATCATTGTCTTGGAGTCCAGAAAGGCGATATGGTGTTCGTTGTGTCACCAAACTCAATCCTCTATCCTACAATATGCCTAGCCATATTTTCTATCGGTGCAATTCTAAGTCCTGCTAACCCCATAAACACAGAATCAGAAATTACTAAGCAAATACTAGACTCGGGTGCTAAACTTATTATTTCAGCACCTGAAGAGCAAGACAAGTTGAAACGAAGTGGGGTGCCTATACTACTAACAACTCGAACATCTGATCAAAATAATTCTCTATCAATCGAAGAACTAATCGAATGTTGCGATCCTGTAGAATTCCCACGAGTAAAGTTAACTCAATCAGACACTGCAGCTATATTATATTCCTCAGGAACTACAGGCATAAGTAAAGGTGTGATATTAACACATGCCAACTTCATATCTATAATGACACTACTAAAATGGTCAGTCTATGCAACCTCTTCACAAAATGATGTGTTCTTATGCTTTATTCCCATATTTCATATCTATGGGCTAGCGTTTTTCGGATTAGGCTTGTTCTGTGCAGGAATTACCACTGTGTTAATGCAAAAATTTGATTTTCAAGCTATGCTTGATGCAGTTCAAGCTCATAAAGTAAACAACATACCTGCAGTGCCTCCTGTGATATTAGCCCTAGTTAAGTATGCAAATAAAATTAACTGCGACTTATCTTCTTTAAGAAGGGTTGGGTCTGGGGCTGCACCTTTAAGTAAAGAACTGAATGAAGAATTTAGGAAGAGGTTTCCATGGGTGGAGCTGAGGCAAGGTTATGGCTTAACCGAAAGCTGTGCTGCAGCAACTTTTTACGTGTCTAATGAACATGCTAAGGCACGCTCAGGCTCCTGTGGAAGGTTAGTGCCAAGTTTTAGTGCTAAAATAGTAGATATTGAAACAGGATTAGCTTTGCCCCCTTGTAGAGAAGGAGAAGTGTGGTTAAAAAGCCCTACTATTATGAAAGGCTACCTGCGAAATAAGGAAGCAACAGATTCCACACTTGATTCTGACGGATGGCTAAGAACTGGAGATCTTGGTTATTTTGATGAAGATGGATTTCTTTATATTGTTGATAGGATTAAGGAGCTTATCAAGCATAATGGTTATCAGGTATGTATAATAATATGAAGTATTATTTCACCAATTCTCTTTAATAGGTCAAGTGTCATTAACTTGTGCCAAGTGCAGGTAGCTCCAGCAGAACTCGAAGCAATACTTTTGAATCATCCCCATGTACTTGATGCAGCAGTTATACCGTGAGTTTCCTCGCCATCTACTGTTTATGTTCGCTCGAGGTTGAATTTATGAAGCACCAAAACTTTAGGCTTAAGCATATGTTCGAGTTAGACACTTCTCTAACACGATACAACACACAAATTTTTCATGTGCTAATTTTCTGCAGAATGGTATGTTTGTGCTATTTTAATCTTCTGTCCTGTGCCTGTGCATAATAGGGGGTGAATCTTTCTGATTTTGCAGGGTTGAAGATGAAGAAGCAGGGCAGATACCAATGGCATATGTTGTGAGAGCAACAGGTTCTGAACTTAATGAAGAACAAGTGATTCGATTTGTTGCCAGTCAGGTTAGTCTTACAGTTCTGTGGATATTCTTTTTTTTTTTTTTCCTTTGAATTATTTATAAGTTCATTTCTTTCTGATTGTGGTTTCATGAAAAACTCTCAGGTTGCACCATACAAGAAAGTTAGGAGAGTAAGTTTCATTACAGCCATTCCAAAGTCTGCTGCAGGAAAAATCCTGAGGAAGGAGCTTGTTACGCTTAGCCAACAAGAAGTTTTTTCAAAATTGTAGTTCTTCTCCTTTACTTCTACTTCAGGATCTAGAAACTATGAAAATTATCAGCGGAAAGTAGTTTGGAGGAAGCTGGAGACATAAGAATCTAATGGAATAAATTTTTTTGAAGTATGACCATTTTCTGGCATTTATACCATATCCAAGATCGTAAAACATGCTCTTCAGTCCTGCTTGCTACTACATGTTTTGTGCCTTTAATTTTCGTAGTTTCTTTTTTTTTTTTTTTTTTTTTTTTGGAATTAAATTTTTTGAAGTATGACCATTTTCTGGATTGTATACCATATCCCCAAGATCGATAAAACACATGCTCTTCAAGTCCTTGCTTGCTACTACATTGTTTTTGTGCCCTTTAATTTTCGTAGTTTCCTTTTTTTTTTTTTTTTTTTTTTCGGGCTAATTTAGGCTCCAAACTAACCATTAAACGCTTTTGAAGGATAATTTTTTTTTTTTTTTTTTTTTTTTTTCGGGCTAATTTGGCTCCAACTAACCATAAAGCTTTGAAGATAAACTCCAATTAGATGTGCAAATAAACTAAGCCGACTCATCAACTATTTGAGCTCGGCTCAAAAAATAGCTAGAAAAGCTTCAGCTCAAATTGAGCTCGAAGTGGAGATATTCAACTCAAGAGCTTGTCGAGCCTTATTGAGCTTTTATCGACCTTTATTAGCGTCAAGCCTTATCAACTTGAAATAAACAAGTTTGTGTTGAACTGAACTCGAGTTTCAAATTTCCAAGCTCATTGAGCTTCGAGCGTGACGAGCTCGAACTTGACTCGACTCATTTACACCCCTAGCTTCAATACCACCAAAACAAGATTTTGTCCCTTCAGTAAAGGCAAGAAACAAGGCTTTGCAATGTCAGCATAAACCTGTACAGAAGACAAACTATCACAACTGCTTTATGAAAATTGATATTCTCCAAAATCAGATACAACCACGCTCAAGTTCTTAAAGAAAATCCAAACTTGCGAGCCATCAAAAAAATATTTATTTAACTTCAGTTAGGTCTAATGTTTATTTAACATATGACATCTAATGACATCTAATGAAATCTATATCGTTCTATGACAACCTTAGATCTAATGTACTTCACTTGTACAACCAAAAATGAATTCAAAACCAAAAAAGGTTGAGGTGCTCGAGGAAACCAAAAATCCTTAGACATGATAGAATGAACCCAAAAAAATAATCAAAAAATAACAAATACAATGTAGAAAACCAAAAAGAATTGACAAACCGGACTATACTGTTTACTCAGTTTAAACTCATCTAAAATTCTCTTTAAAAAACCGTCCAAATATAGTAACAAAGAAGTAGCGATGGCCATAAAAGAACATGTATATAAAACAAAGGTCCTTCAAGAAAGCATGCCTGTTAATTTGCTGCAGCTCAAGACCACACTGCTTGTATTAGTTTCAGAGAGGTATGTCTTGCTTAATCTTTAGCACAATTTTGAGACACTGACCTTACAACTTTTATGGGTCATTAATCTACCCAGCTATCCACCGCCAGACACCACCAGAACCTTGTCGCTGTGCAGCAGCTGCATTAAGCTCCATCTCCTGCTCCAATTCAGACTTCTGTCTCCTGAGTATCTGTACTTCATTCTCTATGGACTGCATTGATTCTAGCATCTTCTGCAACTCGGCAATTTGTGCCTGGAAATCAGCATAACCAAAATGAACTGACTATGACTGATTTGATCATCAAGAGGAAAAGAAAAATATGAATAAAAAGGAAAGTTGTGACAAAAGTAGCGAAAACCTCCAGTTTAAAACATCTTGATCTCTCAGCTACCAGTTGACCTTGGACAGAATGAAGTTCCTAAAAGAGGGGGAAAAAGGTCGAAATGATGTTAGAATGAACTATTACCATTAAATGAAAAAATAATCACCCTTGAGAGAACATAGCTTTGAGAGCATACCTTGGATAATTCTGCATGAGTACTGTTAACTTCATTGACCTTTTCCCTAACCCGTGAATTTTCTGCACTCACTTCTGCAAGTGACAATTGCAACACCTTTTTGTCTTCTTTGATTGCATCAATTTCATTGGTTATATCTTGTTCGGAAGGGTTGCTTTCAACTGCTTTAGAGTTCAAATTTATGTTCGAGAAATCCAACTTTTCAGATTTAGCAAAGGCATATGCAGCAGTCACAGAAGCTGCTGCTGCAGCTGCAGCTGGTGACTGAAAAATCTTGGGGCGGAGCATGTCTCGTGGTTTGAGTCTCATAACAAAAACCTAGAAGTAATGGACAGTTGAGGAAACCATAGAAGAGAACTAGTTAAAAGGAGAATGAAGTATACTACCATTATGACCAGCAGACTGTGACTTAAACATATGCATACCTCATTATTATATTTCCCATTATAGCCACCAAAGCCAATCAAATGCTTCTCTCCCTCAATTAATGTTGAACAAACACTGAGCCCCTGCTTTCAAATTAATATTTAGACATATTGCACAGCATGGAAGTGAATTCCCAAGTTAATCACAAATGAACTAGAACAGAAATAACTCTTTTATTCAGAATGCTAATATAATCTTGGCTGCTAATTTATCATATTCCACTAAAATTTAGAATTTCCTAAACACCCGCCTTTTTAGTTCAAATATCTACTCAAGAGTTTTAAAATTTTAGTCAACCAACGAATGTGTATGGATACATCAAAGTCATATTACAATCTAAATATTTGCCTGAAAGGCTGCAACTCTTTGTTTTTCTTGTTTCTTTTTAGTAGCCCCAGTCCTCATGGTATTATTAAACCAGCTGTCAGATTCACAAGTACTGAAAGATAAGCCGAAATTGAAGCCAGTTTCCAAACAAAAAAAAAGATCATACGACAAAAAGAAAGAAAAAGAAAAAGGAAATGTTTGATATATGACAAAACAAAATTCACTAGTTTTTAATCATAGATTCAGAAAGCAAAAACCAGAAGTAAGCAAATTATGCAAAATCTAGCTTTCTAATATTTACAACCTATTCTCCCAACATTCACAAAAGTGCAAGACACATTTAGTGTAAAGAGTTCAAATGTCTCAGAGATTGGAAACATCAGCAGAAAGAAAATAATATTTACTATGAGTTTTTCACCAAATCAGGTAAATTGCATGCTTTCAATGTGAATGACAAGATTCTACTATTACGTTTCCAAGACTATGCCACAATATAACATATTTAAACTTACAAAAGGCCATATTTTCAGAAACACACTGACCTCACTGGCAAGAGGATCCCTCCCCCTTACACTTGTCAATGTCGACCATGCAAGCTTAGACATATTCAACACAAGGGTTTCTGGGCAACCTGTAAATAAAAATTAAACAACAGTGGCTTACACAATATCACAAAAAAGAGTGCGGAAGCACATCAAGCATAAGAATTACAAGTACACACAAACAAGTTTCTAGATACCATTTTTGTTATCTCCACCGCCAACGATATACCAGTTCTCATCAATGGCTATACCAGCATGACCAGCTCTAGGGGTCACCAAGTCACCTTGAATTTCTGGTTGGGACCACTCCATCTGCAATGGATGGAGCCCATTTCATAATGAACAGAAGATAAGGCACACAGTGGCTTACACAATATCACAAAAAAGAGTGCGGAAGCACATCAAGCATAAGAATTACAAGTACACACAAACAAGTTTCTAGATACCATTTTTGTTATCTCCACCGCCAACGATATACCAGTTCTCATCAATGGCTATACCAGCATGACCAGCTCTAGGGGTCACCAAGTCACCTTGAATTTCTGGTTGGGACCACTCCATCTGCAATGGATGGAGCCCATTTCATAATGAACAGAAGATAAGGCACAGAGATCTGTTATGTATGCAAATCAAGGAGTATAAAATATAGCACATGCTTATTCTGGTATATAATTACCCTGGAACAGAAGTTTCCTACAATAGTAGGTCAATATAACACTTTCAAAAATATATATATGAAAGACAAGCTCCCTACACCTTAATGCATTACATACTCTAACCAATGCCAAAAACTTTCAGCTCAACAGTGAATTATATGATTAAAAAATCCGCACTTTGAATTATATTATAAAAAAGGAAAGAGACATGCATCTGCATCAGAATCCAGAAACAGCCACTTGCATGTTATCACTAAGTTGGCAAACTGGTAACATTATTCATAGCACAATTATGTTTAGCTGGAGTACAAGCAAAAAGTCATGGTGCATATATTCTGCCTCAGCATGTCATAGAGAGGATCACATGTATGCAGCCTTCTCCATGCATTGAAAAGTAGACCGTCTCTGTAGTCTGAGCTTTTGACAGATCACAAACAGTAACCTTTCCAGGATAGGATGAGTACATTGCAATTCCCTTCCAAAGGAGGAAATTTTTATAACATCTATTTCACGTTCTACACCACCTCATTCCTTCATGCCTTCCAAATGCAAAAACAAAAAATAATAAAGAAAGAATAACACTTACAGTCTGCAAATCAAGTACATGAAGATCGTTAAAAAATATTGAATGAGAACAACCACCAAATATCAGAAGGTAGCGTTGTGCATGTATTGTGGCTGTATGATCAAATCTGGGAGCTGGAGGCGTCTGCCTATGAAAACACAACAAATTGATGCAGAAGACTTCTGAAAACATGCAGTAAGACAACTGAAAAATGTAGAATAGACTCTTACGTTGTCTCTAAGGCATCCCAAGTCATTTTTTCCAGATCAAGAACATAGACATCATTAAGCAATCTCCTGCCACTATCTTCTCCCCCAAAGATTATCAGTCTAGAGCCAACCAGAGTAGCAGAATGCCCTCCTCGAGCTACCTGAAATATACACCAGTCTTACCAACCAAATTTCCATAAATGATAACTGCAGTTTTTTCCCTTAGGATAACCTAGAAAACAACATATACAAAAAATCGATGGCAAGCTCAAAGAAACACATAAAACTAAGCAGTTTATAGAATCAATTACCGGAGCTTTTCCTGATGTCTCAATGACACCACAATGGTTTGTTTCAAGATTTATAAACCCCACTACAAGGATAAATTAGCACAAAATTAGATTCCAAGCAAAAGTCTATTTTACAATGGCATACTGATTCGTTTAGGAAAAGATTAAGGTATATCTTTAAAATGAATTCTAAAAGGAACAAACCTGTCATCCTATCAGAAGATTTCCTGGAATGCCCACCAAGAAGAAGAAGTTTGCTTCCCCACTTAACCTGTTAAACGTGCAAAATTTCTTAATGGTTAATGAAAACACATTAAAGTACCACACAAGTAATTAGAGGCAGACAAAAACAGAATAAATTGAGCACATATAGCTATCAATGTGCATGATTCCATAATTTTTTCTTACCATACTGTGATCTGAGGTGGCCGGATGAACTTCCAAAAAGCCATTTTCTTCAACTTTGTCAGCCTGCGGGTTGGTGTTGAGTTTCAGACTAGACCATTCAGAACTTCTAAGATCAAAGACCTGCAAAAATTATCCAATGCACATAACCAAATGCACCACAAGAAAGGACTTCATATGCACAAGCAAATGATCGTAAGCAATACCTGAACATCAGATAGGTACCGACCATTTCGACTCCCACCGGAGACATAGAGTTTCTCATCAGCAATTGCTGCAGCATGCTAGAATGACAACTAAATCAGTAGGTCAATTTTCGTGACGAAATTAAAAAGAAAAAAGGAGAAATTCATTATTCTGCTAAAAAATGGAAAATAACAATTGCCCCAGAGTAATAAAGTTTAGAACCAGCTAAGAATCCTTCAATTAGGGTTAAATTCAAGACAAAAGATCACCTTGTAGCGAGCTGATGGTCGTGCACCAGAAACAGGTATTGCTACCCACTGGTCATAGGTCAATTGTGAAAACCAACTTCCTGCGTCGACATTCTTAATCTCCTCTGTTCCCATATAAGCTATTTTTGGTTATGCAAACTAGTAACCTGATTTATAAAAAGAAATTAAATACATTAGTTCCTGAACAGTTTAGCAATTTGACTTTGCTTTTCCTCCTTTCAAGGAACCAAATGGACCTCAACACTGCCAAGTGAAAAAGTTATCAGTTTTTATTTTTTAAAATAAGCACTAGTCAATTAAGCCCACTCAAAGATTAAATTTTTAATCACATACAAGAAACAAACAAATAAAAGCTATAGGTGAGGAAGATGTTAATTATCAATGGTAAGATCTCATGATAAATTTGTCAGTTTTTCTTTCAATTGTATTGCCATTCCCCAAAAAAGCAGCTCAGTGAGTGCACCAATTTAAAAATTGGCCATCATCTCTAACCAAAAAGAAAAGATCTGGCAATGGAATTTTAATGAAGTGTAACATGCAAAATGTCATACCAGGAGAAGATGGTACTGCATTGTTCACATCCAAATACACAGAATAAAGAAATCTTCCAACGCTACAGCAATTCATGTCAAAATCCCACAATGTGATGATCCTTTTCCATATTTAGGTACCTGAATTTTCCTTCCCCACATTTAGAATGATAAACTTTTCCCTCATAATGAACTTTTACAACACTAAATCTCCCAAGCCACTTAATGAGATTCATGTTTCATTACTCCCTGTTTCAATAGTTGAAATTCAAATTCCATCCAAATGTTACCACAAGGAAACACTTGTAAATGTCCCCTGTATTATTTGTTACCAAAGATAGAAATGGCCGAGAAAAGTGTAAAAAACATAATGAAAATGAAAAGGATACTTCTTATATGTCTCCTCTTTTTGGAAATTTAGTGCTGCCTTTAGCCTGCTATTTCCTCTCAAATTTCCATCCAATGGGCTCTTTAAAGATGACTCCTCAAGGAAGGATGCTCAAGTCTTTACCATGGTCTTTAATTACTTAGTAATGAATTTCAATAATCGAGAATCCTATTTCTCAAAGATTATTAGATTTGCTTATATGAAAATTGTGTGCAACAGACTCTTGGACACTGTTATTAGAGGTTTTCACTCGACTGTTTGTTTGTGTTTCTTGCACCAAATTTGAGCCTTCTTGCATATGTAGACACCAACTTCTAAACCTGCAACCAGAGTTTTCCTCATTCTAGCAACCAAAAAGTCACCAATGCACCATTTAACTTCAACATACAATTTCAATCCAATAGACAAATCCCTAACTCCTCTTTGTTCTCAAGCTCTAAATCTTAACCAGTTGAACTCCCCAGATCCATTCTATTCCTGTAACGCCATTTTAACAATAAATATACAATTCGACAAATCTTCAAACTTGAAGATCCTAATACTTTGTTCCAATCAAATACCCTAACTGCGCACATTGTTACTGCCCATTAACCAAAAATTGAAAATTCTCTTTCGCTCCAATCTCATTCAACCGCAGCTCCAAAGATCAAACGATATTACCATCAATCTCAATAAGAAACAATACACATTAGCGTATATAAACTCTTGATCTATTATTAAAACGCTAATAGTTCTCAATTCTTACTAGATCCAAACATTTATTCAAGATTCAAGATCATGACATTCATTTCCTCCAAAATGCCAATCGCTGTAAGACCTAATTAATTGATTAAAATTGCCAAATTATAATATCAAATTATTAGCCATGTGAAAGGATTAAGTAGTGTACCTGAAGAGATTCTGAATTTCGAGTAAATCGGAGCTGCTGATCAGATCGAGATTTTGGAATGTACAGTGTTTGATTCTCCGTTGATTCGGCGATGAATCGAAGAACCGCACACCGGCCACAACCGTAGAGACGTACAGAGAGAGATTTAATGTGTATGGGTTTTGCACCTTAGCAATAACAACAGAAAACCGAAACTCTGAAAGTCGTCTCTGCTTGCTTGTGTTAGTTAATGATGGGCATAAACTGATTTGTGTTTATATACTCTGCTACAGTTCTTCAATTCCAAAAATGGTGTGATACCAATTTTATTGCCAGCTCATCAATGAATCTATTGTTTTTTCTTTGGAAAAATTATCATTTTGTCCATCAGTCCATGTATTAAATTAACTACTTCATCCTTACATTTTTGTTAAATTATTATAACATCTCTAAACTTTGGCTCCATTTTATCCATCTTAGTTGGATTTTCTATCAAAATTGTGCAAAAAAAGTGAGAGATGCCTGAGATTTTTAAAATGATAGTTCATGCGACTCTTAAAACTAGCCGTTATACAGTTATTAGAAGGGTTAATTTAAAAATTTCATAAAAATATTTAAAAAAATAAAAATAAAATTGGTGAAATCGGGTGGAACCGTCGAAACTGTCGGTTCTAACCGGTTGAAAAAACTGCCGGTTCTTCAAAATCACCAATTCACAATTCCTCAAAAATTGGAACCAGAACCAGACTGCAGACCCCCAATTCCCACCAGTAGGAGTGGCATTCATGCGATTCGGTTTAAATTGGACCAAATCAACTCAAATTGACGGAACTGAAGTTAAAAGCATAGCAAATCGACCTGATCGAAATTAGAATTAAAATCGAATCAAACCAATTCAGTTCGGTTCGCACTATTTGATTATGCATAGTAATTTGAATCATTATTTTTTAACAGAAAAAGAAAATAATATATGAAAGCTTAAAAGCATAGCAAATCGACCTGATCGAAATCTAGAATTAAAATCGAATTCAAACGCAATTCAGTTCCGTGTTCGCACTATTTGATTATGCCATAGTAATTTGAATTCGATTATTTATTTAAAGAAAAAAGAAAATAATTATATATAATATATAGTATATATATATATATATATATATATATTAATCTGTTGATTTTTTATTTTATTAAAGAAACACATAACAAATCATTAGGGAATTGAAAAATCATGACGAAAAACTCAAATAAAATAACAAAACAAAAGCTAAAAAATAAAAATAAAATACTAGAAAAACAATACTTACAGCTTGCAATGTTGTCGGAGACTTGAAATTTAGAACAGGAATGAGTAAGATAAGGAGGGAGATATAAAAAAAAAAACAGAGAAAAAGAAAAACATATATATATATATATATATACTATATATATATTTTACTTTTGATTTTATTTATCAAAGAAAACAGTTAACAAATATTAGGGAATTGAAAATCATACTTGTTGATTTTATTTTTATCAAAGAAAACATAACAAATATTAGGGAATTGAAAAATCATGAAGAAAACTCAAATAAATAACAAAACAAAAGCAAAAAAAATAAAAATAAAAATAAAAATACTAGAAAAACAACACTTACAGTTCCAATGTTGTTGGAAACTTGAAATTTGGAACAAGATGAATGAGATGAGAGGGAGATAGGTTTGAAATATTAGTTACGCAGAGTCGTAGACAATGTCTTTAAGTGAAACCGTGGAAGAGAATTTGAGTAGACGTAAACAATTTACATAAAAACGTGAAAACTAAAAAAAGAGATAAAATATATAAGATATGTTTAGCTTAAAACGTTGTGTTTTGTTTTTTGGTTTAATCGGATTATTCGGATTTCTTTCTATGCAATCGAATTAGTAACCAAATACTGAAATATATGTACATATCATACCGAATCTAATCAAATAACTCAAAAATCAAATTAAATAGACCGAATTGGTTCGGTCCAATTTAAAAAATCAATTCAAACTGTATAGTGCCCGCTCCTATCACGGGTTCCAAAAGCCGTAAAATGGCCACCCCTACTCAAGAGCCACTTTTCTCGAAAAAAAAAGGTCAAAAGTCAAAGTTTACTTTCTAATGTATCATCAACTTTTCAAAGATCCATTTGCCTTTTTTTTCTAAAATCCGTTAATAATTCTTTGGAATGAAAGTAGTACTGCTAATCTCTCGAAACTTTATTCTTGTGTATTTTATACTCTCAAAGCTTTCTTTTTCAGTATTGTATACAATTAAAGAATAAAACCTATCAATAATTTCAAAGACCACATGTCTCTTTTGCAAAAACAAGTTGTTTGAATGACATATCCATTAATAATTCTTTGGACAAGTCCCCATTTGAATTTTTTTGACAATTCCCACTGAACTCTAGATTTCTAAGAACTCAGGATTATATGATCTGTAATTCGTAAAATTCTCACGATTAACGCAAATCCTTTTGAGTGAAGAAGGGAAGTGATTCTGGATCTGTCATCTTCTTATTTTGCCACCATCTTTCTGTAATTCAAATTGCATGGTCCTTAATTCTTTGTTTTGAAGGATTGAATTGACAAATACTTAAAAGAACTTCTTTACCCATGCATGTAGCTACGACCTTTTATGAGTTTATCTTGGTTTCGCCATAAAAACACTCAAAACCCTCGGCACAATCGCCATAAGAAACTCAAAACCCTCAGCACAAAATCCTTCGTCATAACTCAATAGAGAAACACAAATAAATATAGCAAAATAAGAAGACGATGAAGGAAAGGAAGATAAATGCTAGTAGTAATTAATCTATATATATGTAGTAATTAATCTATATATATATAATAATATATATATTATTCTGAAGCAAAAAAATAACTTTGTAAAATGCTGAGTTGACACCATGGTGGTTTCAACATTCCCTTTATATATATATATATATATATATTCTGAAGCAAAAAATAACTTTTAAAATGCTGAGTTGACACCATGTGGTTTCAACATTCCCTTTTTCCTTTTTTTACAAATTTTCTAATTTTAATACATTTTCTTAATATTTTTTCCTTTTTTTATAAAGTTTTAAGTTTTACTTAATTTAATTGGATTAATTTAAAATTTTATTTGTTACCTACAATAAAATAATATTTTAAAATTTAAATTTAAAAGCTGAGAGTTGAATCTTTTATCATCTGACTGTCTAAATTTGAGCTTTCATTCATTAGCTCTAGGTTCATTTATATTTATCTATCAATCTAAAGTGCAGTCAGTTTTTTACGTAAAAACTCGGAAAGTTGGCTTCTTCGTTTTAAGTGGTAGTCTTTTAGCTGCAAAAACTTAATCTGGTAATCTTCATTTTAAATTATTATTGTAGCTATATTTTTGTTCAATTTTCAACCAATGAACAGAATCCATGGTAGATTTTTCCTTACTTCAATTTATATTTTATTTCTTTTTTGCAAGATTTATATCATTATCATTATCATTTAAAATTTTTATTTAATAATATCATATTTATATTCTCTTGATTGTTTCATGGTATCTTTTTATGTTGTTTTCTGTTGCAGAGTTACACGTTCATTCTTTTTCATGGTAAAAGAATTTCTTTTGGTGTCTGTTTTGCTCAACAACAGTTGAGTATATTCTTTCCATTGGATCAATTTGTTTATCTTTTTAGTTTCTTCTGGTTGAGACTATCCATAACTAAATTGATTAATATCCATTATTTACTTGCAGATATTTTTGGGGATTATCTCATATGTATTTTCATTGAAATGCATTGGGGTATTAGCATCAAATTTCTTATTAGTGTATAGTGCATGTGTGTTTTCATTGAATTCCATTAGGTTACCACATTTATATATATATATATATAAATGATGGAAGAAAAAATATTATTATATAGGTTGCTAATGCTCTTTCTTGCTTCTTCTCCTTTTGAGTTGTTCATAAATCTTCTAATTTCCTGTATTCCTATTTAATTTGGTTAGAAATCTCATCAATTGGCCCGTTGTCGAGGAATTATTTGATAGAATTAAGGTTATACATTTATATTTAGAATATATATAAAAGTTTTTTTGAATGATGATGTTTTATCCATTTCTATCTATATCTTTATATATATTTTTTAGATAAATATAGATAATTAGGTATAATTTAAATAAAAAATTAGATTAATAATTAGTAGATATGCCTAGATTATTATTTTTAAATATTATATATTTTTGTAATAAAAGTTTATATATCTATATATATTATTATCAAGTCATACATATATAAAATTTTTTTTATTTTTTTATATATATTGATTAGATCACTTTTGATAGTTTTCAAACTATATAACGTTGGTTTCAAACAATTACTAAGAGAATGCATAAGAATTTTTTTAGGATTCTCAAAATAAATTTAAAATAAATCTTATTTTAAAAATAATATCAGTGCATCAATTATATTAAAAATTAGAAAAGATAATTAAATAAATATATTAAAATAATGCAACAGTTTAAATAGTTGTTTTAAATATTAAAAATTACATAGAGAAAAATATTAATATACAATAATTACAAAAGTTTATTGCTATTTGTATTTTTGGTATCATATTTAAAATACATTTACAAATTATAAGCTATAAAATACATCAATTAGGCATCCGCACAATGCGCAGGACCAAACCTAGTTAAAGAATAAAAAGAAAAGAGAGAAAGAAATAATAAAAGTTTGAGGTTTTAAAATAGAGATGGATAGAATAAGCGGTGTTGAATGAAACAAAATGGAGAGAGGATTGAGTTTAAGTCCAAAATGGATTTGTAAGAAAGGGTTGAGCTTGAGTGAAATATGGTACTATCTAAGGATATTCTCATCTTTTTATAATTTTGGAAAGAACTAAAATATTAGGTGAAATCAAAAGTTAAGGATATCAAATGCACGTATAGAGTCGTTAATTTGGTCGAACCATAAATACGAAATAGTAATTTTAGCTTTTTCTTTTTCTTGGAGCTATATTTTAAAATGATAAAAAATACATAAATTGATTAATACTTTTAATGATTTTTCAAGGTCAATTAAAATCATGAATGGTACAAAAGAAATTTAATTTGTGAGAAAAAAAAGTAATTTTTTACTGTGCAATTCATCTGAAATATATAAAAGAAAAATATTAGGTTTCAATATATCGATTTGTTTCAAATCGAAATTGAATGTAGAAAAGTATGTATTCAAATTAAATGAAAATTTTTAAATTAAACAATTAGATTTCATGCC